TTATTATTATTATTATTATTATTATTATTGTTTTTCTTTTCTTTCGCGCTTTTTTACTTGTATGACATATTAGTATTTTAAAGTTTTAATTATTTAAATGTTTACTGCTTTTATATTGTGATTCCACCAATCTTTTTACTATTGAATTATTATTATTATTATTATTATTATTATTATTATTATTATTATTATTATTATTAATGTTGTACTTTTTTCGCGTTTTTTACTTCTATGACAATTTAGCCTCATTTTCACCGTATTTATCGTTGAACTTTTATGTTTATAATTGGTTTTATGTAGTGCCACATTATTACTTCTTAAACTTTCATAGACCATCCTTGCATCATCATTTATTGTAATATTTTTTGTCCTGCCTTGTGCGAATTGTATCGGTTTTGTACAATGTTTTGATTATGAGAAATAAACCGTACTGTTGATATACCAAAATAAATAAATCATAATGGTTTGTTAATTTTATTTGAGTACTTTTTAATGTTGTTATATTAGTAACAGCAGTTAAAATAAAATCATCAAACCGAGGTAAATATACAAGTTAATGGCACCTTAAAGTTCATTACTAAGGTACGAAATCATGAGGGGTTTTTCAAAGGTAACGCCCATGGAACTTACTTTCAATAACCTTTTAATTTAAAAAAAAGGCGTTTTAAGCAAACTATTGTTGATTCGGTGATTCAATTATTAACTGTGTTGCCTCAGTACTGTTTATGGTCAACGGAACACGCGGGTCCGTTTTTGGCACAACGACTCGCCATCATCAAGTCTGTGTACGTTACTTGTAATGGATCATTTTCTATTGATAATTATAAGACAACGTCGTAAATACAAGTCCACAGACTTTTTACTTCGTTTTTATTTTTATTATATATTTTTTTCTCTGCCATTTTAGGCGATTGTATAACCGCAATCATTTGTGTACAGTATACATTTTTATAACAATAACTATAATGATTAGTCTACGCCGATCGGCTTAGACTCTAGGCCTATAGTAGCCCAGTAGGCCTATTTTATTTAGCCATTTTGCCAATAGGCCTACCATACAGTATGGCATACAGTATGTCATTTTGGAAGTGTTGCCGTTTTGGCTTATTGCCGTTTTGAATTATTGTCGTTTCTGTTCTGGTCCAAATGTCTTGCCGTTTAGGTTTTTTTGCCGTTTTGGTCATTGCCGTTTAGACTTATTGTTTGGTTTTTTACCGTTTGGACCTGTTCCAGAAAGATATCAAGATCATACAGTTTCATTGGACTAAATTCTTGCTTATACCACATGCTTACCTAGGATTATCTGACATTGGTTTCAAACTACGGTCAAGCTAGTTATAAATCACCTCAAATCACCTTATTTTGCGAATTAGTACCCCTCAACTGATC